ACACACACACACACACACACACACACACACACACACACACACACACACCCCACCTGCTACAGACCATATATTATGGGTGTCTGGACAGAAATGTTTAAAACCTCAATGATCTTTGAAAATGTACAAGTTCAAAGATTCTTAACTCAGGATGGGACAGTAGCAGTGGATTGATGAGATCCACAAACAAACTCCTGAACTTGTTTCCTGGAAGTGTGTATATATGCATTGGGTTTTATATTTCTCTGGGCAATTTCTTCTAATCCTCTTCTCTTACTGTTGAGTAAAGCCAAGTCTGGAGTGGCTGCATAACTATATTAGCACTTTACTGAGCAAACGTTAGTTTGAATTGATTTTATTGGTGTTGCTCCTTCTGATTAGAAATTAGTAAGCTGGAAGAGGAAACAACTTTAACACAGTTTTTAAAAAGGAGCTCGATCTCACAACCCTGAGATCATGACCTGAGCTGCAATCAAGAGTCAGATGCTTAACCCACTGAGCCACCCAGGCGCCCCTTAAGTTAAGACATTTTAAAAAAGTGTTACATTCTACAATAATGTTCTATTGGCCAGGAAACAAGGAAATGTTTGCAACCTGATGTTTGTTTAAACTGCACATGCAATATACGGATCCCCATACTAAACACAACAGACGTGTGGTTAAGTTGTCCAGTGTGCCTTTTGTACCTACCACAGGCTCCTGCAGTGCCCTCTCTAAGTCTACAGTAGCGTGGAAGGAAGACTAGCACCCACTGAGCTCCGGGCATTGCACCGCGCATGTGCAATGGGGATGGCGATTTCTCTTACGTGAGGTCAGAAAGCTAAACCTCACCTAAAGCTGAATCACTGGCCCAAGTTCCCACACCCGGTCAGCGGCAGTGTCAGGATGCAAACACACTTCAGTTTGGTGCTAAAGACCAGGACTGCACTGCCCAATACTATGCTCTCACAGTCGAGGTGAGTCTGGCTTCTCCCTTGGGCAGGAAGTGGTGGGTGGCTTGACAAGCTGTCCTCAAGGTTAAAGGCGGTAGGTCAGCGGCCATGGAACATAATAGAGCTACGCGGCCCTTGGAAAGGATTCAGAATCCCATTGGCATCATCGTCTTCCCAAGTGTGTCTAATGTTTCCCCGACTTCAGCGCCGCTGAGCTGGACAGAGTTCTCTTTCCAGATCTTTCTGTCCTGTCACTTACGAGGAAGACAGTACATGCATATTTCCATCTTATCGGGCCATATTGTTCTCTACCTCTGCAATCCTAATTCCTAACTCTCAGTAAGTCCTGACTGACAGAACGCCTCCACGTCCCAGCCACTGCCCTGGCAATGTGGGAACAAGGGGACACTGTCCTTGCTCGGGGAGCATGAAGGCCAGTGTGAAGCTGAGGCCAACTGACCAAAGCTGTGACCACCCCTGTTCTCCCACAAGGCCATCCATTCTTGGTCACAGGAGCCACTCCTGCCACACAAGAGGGGATCTGAAAAGCTTTAGCCCATTCTTGGGAGGCCCCTTACCAAGTCAATCTTGCTGCTTGTCAATCTAGAACATGACTATGAGACTTCTGCACGTGCTTTTCTCTCTATATTCATGCCCTCCCCTCTAGCATCGAACACCCCCTCTCTCCTGCATCCCCTCCCTTCTTGGTGGATCTCCTTCTTAAAATTTGATCTGACTTCAGGATTCAAGTATCAGTCTCCAGAGGCCTTTGATTATTAGCAGAGGGCTCCTGAAAAATGAAAGGATTATGGTTCTAATGGACAGATTCCACATGAAATACAGAGGCTTGCTCATCTAAATCTGTGCACACATACACACACACACGTACACACACACACACACACACAGAGGATATTGTTCACCAGTGACCCAAATTTGAAGAAATCCCCATCTTCAATGCCCCTAGGTGTCCAAAACAACCTGTGTAGATTCCCATTGGTTTTCTTTTTTTAAAGATTTTATCTATTTATGTGAGAGAGAGAGAGTGACCACCAGCTGGGGGAGAGGGAGAAACAGACTCCCCGCTGCAGGAAGCCCGATGCAGAGCTCGATCCCAGGACCCCAGGATCGCGACCAAACCCTAAGGCAGACGCTCAGCTCAACTGACTGAGCCACCCAGGTGTTGCACCCCGCCCACTGATGTTCCCAAAACCACTGTCAAGGTCTCTCCTCATTCCATCACATTAGTCTCACGTTATTCGTCAGCCTCCAACACCTTTCAAAGTTCATCACCACAGCCACTGAGCCACCTTGTTTTTCCTGCCTTGTCTGATCATCTTCCTAGTTCTCCACACTTCTCCGACAGCCTGTCTCTATTTGATGCTTCCAGTCTTCCTTCCTAAGCCAGGCTGTGTTCTCCACCCTCCGTATCAGAGAGACGTTGCCTTCTGTCCCTATCTGTCTCCAAGCGATGTTTGTGGATAACTGACTCTTCCCCTCAATGTGCTCTTCCTGCCCTGTCTGGGGTACTTCCCGCATTTAAATCATGCCTTTATTAAATCAGGACTAGGGAGATTTTTTTTTTTTACCCCATTTGTGAGTATTCATTCTACATTAGTGTGAAAAGTCCCAGTTGTGAGCTACTTCTAGAATCGTCACTCTTCAAGGAACACACAAAATTCACTGGTCAAAACAAACAGGAAAAGAGTTTTTGAATTTCTGACTCCTGGGGGTTCCTATGTATAGAAACAAACCAAAATGACCTCATTTTGTGCAAAACCACATGAGTGATAACAAGGTTTCACCGTGATTATCTCACTCTGCTCTCAATAGCACTGTTGATAATGATCAGGACCCACCCCAGAAATCTACTACATCTGAGAGCACACCACCAGCACTCCCCTCACCTGGCCCCGAGCTATCTTTCCCAGGTCAGCCTCAGATTTCTGTAAAACTACACACATACTCACGTGCAGAGGCAAGTACATACACAGCACCACAAACATGCCAGATAAACACCATGTCATAAAGACTAATAATCCATCACATAGAACACCGCTTGTCCCAGCTGCTCCTTCCCAGCTCACCAAATAAAGTATAAAGAGAACCCAGTTCAGTAATAATCACTGAAACATTCAGTTGGTTTTTCTCATTTCAAAGAACTTATGACTCTGGGACTCTTGATTATGAGTGTCCTGGCATAGACTATAGGGGTCTGTCCCGTGCAAGTCATGCAAAGCCTTTTCTGGGCTCTTCTCTCTCACTGCTCCTGGCTGTAGGTCTGTGACTGGGTGCAAGACCCATACATCCCTCACTCACACTACCACCCGATACTCAACAAACCCCGGAAAACTGGACCGGGATGAGTCCACACCGGTTCCGACCCTTTGCCCCAGCCTGAGGATGCCACCCAGGAAGCTGACGTTGCCCCCCTTCACCACACGTTCAATATAGAGTCCTCACTCATCCAATTTGACCAACAACTCTACACAGTAGGAGCAGCTGAATTTTAAAATGAATTTCATTTGGTACCCACTTATCTTTGCTAAGGATTCCCCAAAAGAGATATTAAGGTAATCTTTCGTTAAGATCACTAAAAAGATAAACACAAGGGCAGATATTTAATTTTTCCATAATGAAGTATTTATTGCATGTTGTAGGGGGGGTAAGGGAGAGTAAATGCATGGATTATCCTTTCAGATGCTGTATATCTGATTTGCTGAACTAAGTCCAAGAGTGCTATGAAATACACTAACACAAAGAGAAGCTATACTTACCCCATTTGGAAAAAGTAAGATCCACTGTCCTCCAGCTCAGCTGGCCAAAACTCCAAGACATAATCATGCAGAGAAATTCTGGGTGAACTGCTTGAGTTTAGCTCAATGCGCCCCTGTGATCCATTGCTCTTGTACCATTTTATGACGGCTGTTTCATTCTTGGGCTCAGATGCTGATGAGCAATATCTCAGATAGAAAGGTTCCCCTCTGACTGCGGTGATGTTAAAACGTGAAGTACAAGTTTCTTCATAAGATTAGCAAAGTAAAAGAAAAACAAAAACAGAATGACAAAGGTAAATGTTTTCTTTCCTAACACATGAGGCAAATAAGCCAGGTGAGTAAGAAAGTCCTGAGCAATCTCAATGTCTCAGTCTTGTGAGTTCTCATTTTAAAAAGGGTCAATCTTTCCAACACTAAGAGACAGAAAGTCAATCTTTCCAACACTAGGATACTCTCAGGGCATAAATGTAGACAACATTTCTAATGCCTTTCCCAAACAGGACACGACCCAAACTTAACCTACCATAGCTAGAGGACAGATAAATGCAGTGAAGTCTTTTCCAAAGAAAATGTTACACATTCCAGATTCCTCCTAACGAAAACCACAGAGGTCACCATGTTGCCACACCTACCCCAAAATATCCCTAGCTGGGGAGTCTCCATGGAAATGAAAACAAGAAATCTAGAGTCCTCAGAGTTCCTGCCCTGTCTCACCAGAAGTGTGCTCTCAATCAGTTTACCTGACCATTCCCTGGGCAGGCCTGGGGCTGGTTAAGGTGCTCCTATATAGCTTAGAGTGTGTGTGAGTTCATTATCTCTCTGGGTTACCACGTGGACTGACAAGGATTGATTAATACAGAATCACTCCAAATCTGGGTATCTGTTACTTCCCTCCTTGAATGCTCTTGCAAGCTCGCTCTCTCCCTCCCTTCTCCCCTCCCTCTTTCTCAATCAACCCAGATACTCTGTCTTCAGAAATTTATCTGATCTTTTCAGCTGACAGGGTCATCATTCCCCTCCTTTTGAACCTCTGATAGTCCAAAGTCAGCCCTCATGGCCCCTTTCCATATCCTGTTCTCCGGTGGCTCCAGCATGCCCCTTTATTTTATTCAAGTATAATTAACATCCAGTCTTATATTAGCTTCAGGTGTACAACATATTGATTCAACAATTCTATACACTACACAGTACTCACCACGATAAGTGTAGTCACCATCTGTCACCATACAACGTTATTACAATATTATTGACCATACTCCCTATGCTGTAATTATCATCCTCGTGATTTATTTATTTTATAACTAACTGGAAATTTGTACTTTTAATCCCCTTTATGTATTTCACTCATCTCCCTACTTCCCTTCTGGCAACCACCAAAGTGTTCTCTGTATTTTAGGAGTCTGCATTTGTTTGTTTATTCATTTGTTTTGTTTTTTAGATTCCACATATAGGCAAAATTATACGGTATTTGTCTTTCTCTTTCTGACTTATTTCACTTAGCATAATGCCCTTTAGGTCCATCCATGCTGTCCCAAGTGGCAAAATCTTATTCTTTTTTGTGGTTGAGTAATATTTTATTGTGTGTATATATATCCACCACATCGTCTTTATCCATCCATCTATCAATGGACACTTGGGTTGCTTCCATATTTGGCCGTTGTAAATAATGCTGCAATAAACATAGGGGTGCATGTACCTTTTCAAATTAGTGTTTTTGTTTTCTTTGGATAAATACCCAGTAGTGAAATTACTGAATCATATGGTCTTTCTATTTGCAATTTTTTGAGGAACCTCCATGCTGTTTTCTGCAGTAGCTGCACCAATTTGCATTCCCACCAACAGTGCCCTGTAACTGAATTTTGAGAATGAGAATCCTTAAATTAAGTAGAGCATTTCTCTGAGGGCGTGGTCTTCCCTATAGTTAGGGTCTATTTCTCAAAGCAACTGTCTGGTTTTAACTCGATGTTGTTAACCACAATGTAAAGAGGAAGTGGCTCAAATGGTAGAAGTATTCTTTGAAAACATGGAGGTCGAAATCTACCTCAAAGTACAAGTGTTAATGAATACCAACCTTGTGTTTGGTGGTTGTTATAGAAACTCCATTTTACATTTCACTACTTCAACACAGAAGGTGTGATACATGTGTAAGTGTTGGTGTTAGTTTTAATGGACATCCAAAAGGATGGCATGTCAAAAACAATTTCACTTATTTTCCCGTTTCAGGGATATAATATACATAAAACAAAGGACACAAATGCTACAGTCTGTGCTCTTCTGCCTAGATTCTTTCCTGAATCATCATGTCTCTGATAGGCAGACATGCTGCTGCACGAAGCAGTGATTTGTTCTTTTTCTCATAGTTATGTACATCCAGTTGTGTTCATATTTGACAATTTATCCATTCTGTGGGTTTTGAACATATGGGTTATTTCTAGGTTTCGGCCACTCTTAAAAAAGAACACTTCTATAAACACCTGTGCCTGTGTTGTGATAGACACATTCACCATTTCTTTGGGGGAGGACTTATCATTTGTAGAAACCTAACCTGGCTTACAGACCTTCCAGGGGTAGACGGTTGGAGTTGAAAGTTCACGCTCCCCTGGCAGTTAATGGCTTCAGCTACCTAATCTTTCTTATGCTTCACACTATAGGCTTTGTTGATTAGAAATTGTTTTTGATTGAAAAAAAAAGTGAGTGGAATTCAAGGTGTATGGACTGCCCAGAGCAAGAACTCCCATTCCTACATGAACAGAGAGTAAGAATCCAACAGGGTCAACAACCTAGACCCTTTGGAATGATGTCTGTGTTTGGAAATGTCTTGAGTTTGGATAATAAATAGGATACTGTCATTCAACTTCTACTAGATTAAATGAATCCTCACGTAGAATACTGTCATATTTGCCCAGAGTGAACCCTTTATGAAAGGTGCTCTTCAGATACCTAAAAGGACAAAGAGCTGGGACCTTAGTAACCTTAGAGAATAGGCTGTGTGACTAGTTTTGAGCCTGAAACATGTTTCACTGTAACTTGGGGGCAAGGTTATTAGTGTGTGTCTACAGAGCAAGGTATCCACAATGCACACTTCCCTGCACCTTGCTTTTTCACCCTGCACTTTCTAAAAGATTAGTCATCTGGCATCAAGAGGAGCAGATCTACCTCCTTCCTTTAACATCTGGGTAGTATTGCACTGTCAGGATCTCAACAAAAGTGGACCCACTTAAGTAAATATTGGACTGGAGTTATTTGAAAGTATCAATAATTTAAATTCCCTATCTCTTCAGCAGTAATTCTGAAAGTAGGGGATATGGGCTTATGTGTTACCCTCTCCTAATTAACAGATCAAGGCAAATCAATACTTGTGTTCCCACCTTCTCCTCCAAAGCATAAGGAGAACCTTGCTAATCAGTCATGAATCTCTTCTCCAAAGGATCCTGATGAAGCCACGGAATCCTTCTTGATAAAAGTCTCCAAGCCATCACTGCTAATCAGTTAAAACTGGTACCTGCCACCTGATATAAAGCCTGCTTGTTTTCCCTAGTCTATGCGGTCTTTCTTATGTATTCCTTCCAACTCAAGTACTTCCCTCAAGACCTGTAAGGCATTCCCACTCACTGTCTTCACTACCTAAATAATGAGATGAATCTTGGCCTTCATGTTGGGAGAAAAAGAATGTGTGTAAAACTTTCTAAAAATCAATAATAAAGATGGCTGGGCGCCTGGGTGGCTCAGTTGGTTAAGCAACTGCCTTCGGCTCAGGTTATGATCCTGGAGTCCCTGGATCGAGTCCCACATCGGGCTCCCTGCTCGGCAGGGAGTCTGCTTCTCCCTCTGACCCTCCCCCCTCTCATGTGCTCTCTCTCTCATTCTCTCTCCCTCAAATAAATAAATAAAATCTTTAATAATAATAATAATAAAGATGGCTGTGAACTCTTCAGTTTTAAATAACATAAAGCAGATTTTCATCTCAGACAAATGTAATTTGTTTCCAGATACAATCCTGTTTTCTCTGCATAAACTCAGAGGACTAAATCTTTTCCTTTTCAGTAATCCCACATGATTCTTTACTTGATTTCATTTCTTTTTTTTTAAGATTTTATTTATTTATTTGACAGAGAGAGAGAGAGAGCGCACAAGTAGGCAGAGCGGCAGGCAGAGGGGGAGGTAGAAGCAGGCTCTCCGCTGAGCAGGGAGCCCTACGTGGGGCTCGATCCCAGGACCCCGGGATCATGACCTGAACTGAAGGCAGCCACTTAACCGACTGAGCCACCCAGGCGCCCCTTGATTTCATTTCTATGAAACTTTTCTTCTCTACGACAGGGACACCATATGGTTGGTAACTTTCAAAGTAGAATCTAAAACCATTAATTTTAATAAATTCAGCATCTTCAATAGCCACCTCCACATAAAGAAGTGAAACCTTGATATTCCCTCTAAATGACCCATGAAATATGCTTGTGAATGATTATATTCACTTACCTGAGGTTCTTGTAAACATAAGTGCCAAAAGTGTCAAGAGTAGTTCTATACGATGCATCTTGAGGATTCTGCTTCCAGTAGTTTCTCTGGAAAACAGAGTAAGACGGGTTTAGCCAAAACTTGCAAATAAACATACACCTGTAGCATGAAGGAGATTTTTTTAAAAAGATTTTATTTATTTTAGAGACAAAGAATGAGAGACAGAGAGCACGAGAGGGAAGAGGGTCAGAGGGAGAAGCAGACTCCCCGCTGAGCAGGGAGCCCGATGCGGGACGCGATCCTGGGACTCCAGGATCATGACCTGAGCCGAAGGCAGTCGCTTAACCAACTGAGCCACCCAGGCGCCCATGAAGGGGGTTTTTAAAAATCTTCTGGCACACAGACTTTTAAAAAAATCAGTGCAGTAAGTTTTCATATCCCTTAATATACTCACCAAGCATTCTCAGAACTTTCAGCCACACAGAATTCATAAAATTTCAAGGTAATGAATTTCGGCATCCAGAAAGAAATTCCTAAGAATGCAATTTTCCAATACAAAAAAGTCTGCTGTATGTCAGGCCTGTTCTACTAAACCTTACCTCAAAGGTCAAAGTTGAGACCAAAAATATTTCCAGAAAATCTACTGTTCTATGAATAGACAGTCTGTGATACATCGAGATGTGTATGGCAGGTCTGCCCATGTAAGGATGTGTGTGTGTGTGTGTGTGTGTGTGTGTGTGTCCTTTTTTCTCTCATCACACCAAAATGCTCATCATGATCTTCATTTGTGGCTTGAATTTTTAAATATCCATCTTCCTTCTTCAGAACTAAGCTCTTCATAACTTAGGAACTGAATCTATTTTGTTCATTATTGTATCACTGGAGTCCAGAACAATGCCCAGCATAGAGTAAGCACTAATACTTGTTACAGAGGAATAGGTGTATGGATGTGTGTGTGTGTGTATTTACACACACATGCCCACGTGCGTTTATTTTAGGGAAACAGAGAAAGCAGGAGTTTCCTACACTCCAAATGCCTAATCTACATGGACTCAAAACTATGTTGAATTTCAATCCTACTCCAATACATATTTTAGCCTTTGAATTACAGATTTAGAGAGTAAAATGGGGGAAAGTGGCAGTGAGTCTCTGACACCAAGTGTGAATATTTCATAAGCAATCCCATGTTCCTTGCATCGCGCACACTGAAGCTAGAGCCTTGACTAGTTGTGCGACCTTAGGCAAGTTACTTAGAAGTATCAGATCCTACCTGCTCCTTCCCAAAATGGAGATGAATAACAAGGCCTATTACCAAAATTATTGAGTGATTAGATGAACTAGTGTAACGAAGGTTTTCTGGATGCATGCTAGCTCCTCAGTCCCAGATAATTCTGTTACCAACTTCCACTCACCTCCCGTACTAAAAAAAAAAAAAAAAAGACTGTTAATGCCCAAATCCTGGATGAAGTTTAATGGCTAAGCTGTCAAACCATTTACATCAATCTTTATGAATAACATCACAAAGCATCTGCTGTAATTTCCAAGAGATAACAATCAATAAAGTAAAGACAAAAGAGTTAAGTACGTGTGGAAAGTACCAACTGTTCATAACCAAATTAGAATATTTCTATGATTCTGTGGTTTGAACTCAACCCCCCACCCACGCACACATACACACATTTATTATTAACTATCCATTCTCTTACCTCAGGTAGAATGAAAAGTATCGTTTCCTCTGGCTAAGGTTGACACAGCCTTGTAAAGGGCACTGCCGTTTTGTTCTTGGTTTGGGTTTTTTGTTAATCTTCAAGGTCTACTGAGAGATAAAGTTTCTATGAAATAATCCAGCATTCTGATGAGTCACCTCTGAGTTTCAACATGAAACATGTTAAGATCCCAAATTAGCTGATACTGGCACTGCTCTGTGTATATATATAAATTTTAATGTACTTATTATGGATTTAAAAGATTAAGATATTAAATAATGGAGCTCATTTCCAAAAGAAAAGTTATTCTGGAAGTGTCACAGATACCCTAGTAAGTATTAATAAGGTATATATAGGAGAATGTAAATATTAAATTTCTTTCATGAAGGAATTTGGGTTTTTTTTTTTTAGTGTTATGTTTGATATTGATTTTTTTTCTTTCCATAATTTTTAAATTTCTTTCTCTTTCTTTCTTTTTAAAAAAATTGTTTTTGGGCACCTGGGTGGCTCAGTTGGTTAAGCGACTGCCTTTGGCTCAGGTCATGATCCCGGAGTCCCGGGATCGAGTCCCGCATCAGGATCCCTGCTCAGCAGGGAGTCTGCTTCTCCCTCTGACCCTCTTCCCTCTCGTGCTCTCTATCTCTCACTCTCTCTCTCTCAAATAAATAAATAAAATCTTTTAAATAAATAAATAAATAATAAAAAATTGTTTTTGACTTCTTTAAAGTATTATAATGCCCAATATAGGACATTATAAAATGAAGATTGAAAAGAAGAAAATGATCTCAATATGCATAATACTTTAACATGTTTCCTTGTACTTTTTCTTCATGATTTTCAAATAATTAAAATCTTCAAAAATGTTCACATCCTGCATTTTTCACTTAATCAATGAGCACTTCCCTGAGTCACAAAGATCTCTTTGTTAACATCATCTTAATTGCTCCATATATCCCTCGATATGGGTATATTACAATCTATAAGATATATTTTATTACAAAATAACCCCCATGACTATCTTCTTGTGCTAGGTGGTACAGATCAGTTTTTGGATCACGGCCTCTGGTGCCCGACTGGCTGGATTTGAATTCTCATCTTACTCTTTACCAGCTGAATAACTCTGGGCAATTCACTTACCCTCCCTGCTCTTCAGTTTCTTTATCCAGGAAAGAGAGTAACAACACTACCCCCCAGAAGTGATGTGCAGGTTTTGTGAGTTTCTATTGCAAAGTATCCAGTACATAATAAGTATCACTTCAATGTTAGTTATTTATCTACCTTTCTCATTATTTTCTTGGTGTTGGGACAATGGCAATACTATCTATAGGTCAAAGAATACATTTTAAATGTGATTAACATATACTATCAAACCACATTCCAGAAATGTAATAATTCATACTCCTCAGCTGTGCAAGATAATATCCATCTACCACACCCCCATAAGCATTGGGCGTTCAAATTCTTTAAAAGTAATTCCCTCTTCAAATTGGTAATGGTGTCTTGTGGCTTTTTTAAACCTGCATTTCTACTGGTACAAATAAGGCAGAATATTAAGCATGTAGTTTTCAGCTATTTTATTCCCGTGTGTATGAACTATCTTTTTATGCCTTTGGTCCAGTTCTTAGATATTTTAATGGTTTTTTTTTCTCAAAGAGCTACTAATTACTTCTCTATAATTAATTAAAGAGTCCTGCTTTTCCTTTACAGTGTGCTGACAGCGCATAGTTACCACGTAGGGGCCCTCTGCGAGCACTCCATGGAAATCTAACAGCATGACCCCTTGGATGCAAATACACACACGCACGCACGCACACCACTCCCTCCTCTTCCACTGCGCTTTGTTTTTCCATTCATAGCACTTATCCCTAACTGATATACTTTATTTTATGTTTGTTTATTATTTGCTGAGTTGATGAATTCATTCAATTCATTAAATATATACAGTTTGGTGTCTTAGTCAATCATCTGATCCACTGTAACATCTGCATAATCTTACCTCCGAAGTGCTTCTTAAATCATGACATCTTGGAAAATATGTTTTAACAACTGATGTGAAGTCTAGGGCACTCATTCTCCCCTGGAGCTTAAATAATAATAATAATAACGCCTGGGTCCCCAGCCAGACACCTGAGGTACCGCCTGGACATTCTGATTGCTACAAATCTCCCAGGTGATTCTAATATGCAACCAAGGTAGGGAGACACTAATCTAGGGGACTTCTTTGTATGCCTAAAAGTAAATTTAATGTATCGTAAGTATATATATTTAGCAAGTTCCTATTTAAGAGATATTAAGTATCTGTACATACATACGCACGTATATATGTAAGTATGTATGTGCACACACAAAGAACACTCACAAACTTCCCCTAAATCACCAAGTGGCATGATGTTTTCTCTAAATGAAAAAGGTTCTCTTCTAAAAATTGTGTGACCTGGGGTGCTGGTCAGATACAAGCCAACTGTTCTCTCTGACCCCCGAGGTGGGACAGTCCGGGCCCCTGCAGATTGTCTGAATGCTCATCTCCTGAGCCCCTGGCCCTGCCCACCTGCCCTGTTTATAGACACCACCCTGAACAAAGTGACCATCCTCTTAAAAAAAAAAAGTAATTCACAGAAACCCATAGTTGTGAGGCTACTTCAAAGTCCTTTCTGCTAAGGCAGCTGGGACCGGACCAGGTGAACCGGTCCGGATTGTAGACAGTGACACTGACTGACACATGAATCGATGTAGATTGGCTCAATGTAAGTCACTCTTACCAGCAAAACATAATTGAGCACCTCCTAAGATAAACTGCTTTGATGAAAATCTTAACACCAGTGATTTTTAAAATAATTCCCTCTCTACAGTGTTCGATGCCTAAGTGTTTCACTCACCAATTGAGATGATGAAACTACCAATGCAAAGAGGAAAAAATGATCTGGGACATAAAACACACACACACACACACACACACACACACACACACACACACACACGCTTCCGCTTTTAAGGAAAGCAGCATTTACGCTGAATTAGGTTTCTCATCTGCAAGACCAGGAACATCATTCCGACTTCAGAGTCCTGCCACACAGATATGTGTTGGTATCCTGATGTCTCCCCCACCTCCTCCTGTGCACGTGCTAGTCTTGCTCCCCGAACCTTCTCGCTTCTAACTGCGGGGTCCCTGCAGTCCTTACAACCTGGCTCTATGGTTGCCTTCTCAAGGAAACTCTCTGACTGCTAGTGCCCCAAACAGCCTTTGTCCACATCTGCGCCACACTGCATTCCCATTATCCCTGGATCCATCCCCACTCCCTGGGAGCTCCCTGAGGGCAGGGACCCTGTCTTTCCGTGTTCCCAGACCAGAACCTGCGTACACCCGGAGTCTCCCAAATTTACACCCCCCAAGCCATTCAAGGCCCTCGGGTTGAGAAGTGTGCCCCAGATCCCAGCACTGCATAGCACCAAATGAGTGTTTGCTGAGGTTGCCAAGAAGAGAACAAGGGAAGAGGGTGAAATTAATACCATAACCTCAGGAGTCTAGACCTGACTGGGATCACCCAGTCATTACTTTGTCTCATAACTGCAATGCAACTTGCTTGGGGTTCTAACTCCTGGAAGCACCTCAAATTAAAAGCAAAGGTTTTGGAATCAGAGAAATTTTGGTGTGAATCTGTGATCTATTAGTAAGCTGGATGCCCTTGGATAAATTCCTAAACATCTCTGTGCTTTGATTCTCTCCCCTTTACTAAGCATAATGATAGTGCCTATGTCTTTTGGCCTACAGGAAGATTATGTGAAAATAATGCATCTAAAAGTTTTCTACACCATGTCAGACAAGTGCTTAATTAGTAAAAACTACCAATTATTTTAGCTGTTCTCCCTTTTTCAGAAAAAAAGAAATATTGGCAAGTTTTAACCTCTGAAATTATACTATCAGGGAAAGTCAATGATGCTGGCTCACCAATTATTCGTGTGTGTGTGTGTGTGTGTGTGCACATATATGTGTGTATATTTACAGACACGTGAACATATATGTATACACACTCAATATTTAAAACTATATATACACAGATGTATATACATGTATATCTGCATGTATACATACACATACACAGTCCTTACTTCTGATGGTTCCACTTGTGATTTTTTGATTGATGGTGCAAAACAGATACACATTCAAGTGTAAACCATACTTTGGATTTTGAATTTGGATTTTTTTCCCAGGCTAGTGATATGCCCTATGATCCCCACTAGCCGCAAATCCCAGTCTGCCTGAGGATCATGACGGTGAACAACAGATACACTTACAACCATTCTGTACCCATGCAACCATTCTGCTTGTCCCTTTCAGTATATTATTCCATCAATTAAACGAGATACTCAACAGTTTATTATGAATTAGGCGTCATGTTAGAGGATTTTGCCCAACTGTAGTTTAATGTAAGTGTTCTGAGCACCTTCAAGGTAGGCTGGGCTAAGCTATGATGTTCAGGAAGTTAGGTGTATTCAATGCATGTTCCAGTAGTGAATATTTTCAATTTAGGGCGGCTTTTTCAGAACTACCCCCATCAT